CTTCCTCTATCTCCCTCCGTGGAGAACCAACAGAAGTTGCTTGAGCAGCCCTCCTAGGATCAGAAGCTTGCCCCGAAGCCTCCTCGACCATTTCCCATCCTCGACCATTTCCCATGTCAAACCCTTCTCAGGGAAGACCTCAATACCAGGGTCACTAACTAGCCAATCTGAAGCATTCTCCATGTCTTTCGAAGGGATAGGTCCGTTTTTGGCTGGTTTTTCTTCTCCTTGAGCCTTTGATTCTCTCTAACAAAAACCAAGTCATTGAGCTTCTTTTGCTCAAGCCTATTTCTTCTCTTTGTATGCACTTATAAGGAAAAATAATGCATAAGTAACTACTATGAGTCTATGATGTTCTTACCTTTTATGAATCTATATTACAAAATGAACTTATAAACAAAAAAACATATAAAATTGTAAAATAGTAAAGTATCATTTCAAACCAACTCCAATTGTGCTCACAACCAGAAGAGGTTGTTGTCAAACTCAAGATACATATAGCCATCTTCTGGAGGTTTGGAGCGCTACTCCCATGTCTCCACCATTGGGCTGCAATATGTGGGCAACCTTTATAATTAATTTAGGTATTTAACATTATTAGAAATTGAAAGAAAATTATAAATTTATATTTTATGAAACAAAAGTCAAAAGAATACTACTTGGTTCGTCTTTGTTTCTTTGTCCTAATGCCATATCTTTCCTGAATGACATCAAAGAACACTTGTACGAAATTAACTCTTCAGTAGATATCTTATCTTCGATATGTGGATCGGGAACTAATTTCTCAAGGCACTCATTAAAGCCATCAATAATTACCCCTTTTGACTCAATATCTGCATCTGCATAAAAAAAATGTAAGGTTCAAGTAGTACCCTGCTGCATGCAATTGTCTATGGAGCTGCCTATCCCATTTGTCATCTATAATCTTCCAAATTGGGGCATACTTCGCTGCATGAGTGCCCAAATTCTCTGCAATCTCATTCTTAGCCCTTTCCATTGCATTATATATAAAGCCCATGGAGGGCTTATTAGCATCAATCAAGCGCAACACCGTCACCAAGGGAAGAAGTACTAATATCGCATGCTTCTTCCCATCGCAAAAATATTTTTAAAGAACAATATCTCGTGCCTTCTTTTCCTTGGCATCTCTAGACCACTTACACCTACTCTACTCCTCTGAAGCAAACATAGACCTTAATGCTATCCTCCTCTTATACATGCTCTGTAGACTAAGGTAGGTAGTGGCAAATCTAGTGACCCTAGGCCTCACTAGCTCTCTCTTTATTGTAAACTTGCGCATCATGCTAAGGGTAAGTATGCGACTGTATAAGAAGATTGTAACTTCCTTAGCCTTAAAAGTAATTCTTTTAATAGTAGGCAATTCGCCAATTGCTTGCAGCGCAAGGAGTCCAAAATATGCGAGGCCTCTTCTATCAAAGCAAATGACCTGCAGTTAGATTGGGAGCAGCATTATCTGTGACCACTTGTATTACAAGTTCCTCCCCAACCTCCTCAATGCCCTTATCAATAAAAGAAAATATATAATTTGCACCATGAACATCATTGGAAGCATCGATTGAGCGTAAAACAACTGTACCCGTGGGACAATTTACAAACAAATTCATGTTACTCCTCCTCCTAGCACTCCACATATCTGTCATTAAAGAAACCCCAAATTTAGTCCATCCCTCCTTATGAGTCTTGAGATATTCGTTAGTGTACTCGACTTCTTTCTTCAGTAGTGGCTCTCCAATCTCATAAGGAATTGGAGCTTTCAAACCTCGCACAAATTGCTCAATCGCTTCTAACATTGTATGGAAGCTATTCAAGCGAGCAGTGTTAAAAGAAATGCCTGCATGGTAAAACCACCGAGCAATATACTGAATCACCCTGGCTCTATCTTCCTTCTTAAACCTATTTTCAATTGTCACTTGTTTTTTCCCCTTTCCTCCCTTGCTTTTCTCAATAATTGTCTCAGGGCTAGGTGTAAAAAAACTATCTATAGGCCCTCTCGTACGGGCCTTCTTAGACTCAAAAGCCCTCTTGGTCTTAGAGCTCTGAGTACCAACCATGGCTACCTCTTCTTCGCCATCTTCATCCTCTTCTTCAGTGTCAATATTATCATAAGAAATATGGACCCCTGACTTTAATTCTGCTATATCTTTTTTTGTTGCAATTTTTTTACTCTTTTTAACTTCAATGTATTCTAAAATTTCTTTATTTACAAGATCTGAGACTTTCTTACATGGGGCAACATCACCTCTAATACCGGCAATATGTTTCTTGAATCTATTTATGCCGGCATTAGAAACAAGTCCACAAAAATTGCACATAATTTTATTTTTGTCATTCTTATCAGGGTTAACACAATATTTTCATCCCGGATCTCCACCCCTAGTAGACCCCGCAGAAGACATCTCAAATTGGAAAAATAAAACTCAAATAAAGATTACAGGCTGACCTTGACGTTTTCTACCCAATTTTTGATTTTCAATGTTGGTTACCTCAATCGAGCTACGAATCAACTCAAAAGTCTTCTAAAGCCACCAATAGCACCCTAAAAATAATTTCAATGAGAAAAAAAAACTTTTTCAATCCACAAAAAGTATTTTCGATTTTCAGAAATTACTTTAGATTCTCAGAAATAAGTTTAAGATTGAAGGTTTCTTGTTTTTTTTCACTTTGGGGTTCAAAAATAAACCCCAAAACTTCTTTTATACAAACTTGGGGGTCAAAATGACCCCCTTTGCCCTTTTAGGCGAAGTTAAAAAAAAAACCAACTGCCCTGGACGCCTGCCTAGCTCGCCCAGGTACAGCCTTCCTAGGCGCCGAGAAAAAAATTTCCGCACGCCTCGACCTTGGCACTCGTGTAGGCACCTAGGGGTTGAGCGAACCGTTTTTTGAAATAAGAGCCTACCTCAAACATTTCATTAGAAGATGTTGTTTTGATGCTCAAATGTCCTCAAATTGATCATTTGGATATCAAGATGTATGGACATGGGAGAAAATGGATTTCAAGTTTTGGAAATAGTGTATTTTGTAACGTTGTAACGTATTTTCAGACCGTCAATTTTCAAGATTTTCAAGTTCTCATAGATCTATCGATCTACACTATTTTTTGAAGCTTTAAACTTTAAAAATAAAGATAAATATATATTTAAGGCTATCACAGAGATTTCCAATATTGAAAGCACATTTGTCAAAACTATTTGAAGGTAGGCTCTAATTTGATTGTTCAAAGCTTAGGCTCTATACAAACTGCACCCATATATATATATATATATATATATATATATATATATATATATATA